CAGCTGCCCGCGGCTCCAGCCGGAGCAGGCCCAGCCCGCGCAGCACCTCCTCACGCCCCGGGCCTGTCCTCGGGCAGCCGCCCAGGCTGTGCGCCCCTGGGAAGCTGCTGGCCCTCTCTGGGCACCCAGGCGTGCACAGCCCCAGCCCGACCGCGGTGCATATCTCGGAGATGGGTGCGCGTCCCGGGGAGAAGGGCTGGCTTCAGACCGCGCCTGTGCCGGTCACACCACCGCGGTCCGCCTCCCCCAGGCGTGCGCCTCAGTGTCCACGTCTGGCACTGAGCGAGTGACCAGCCTCGCCAGGTGCCTGCGGGCCCGAAGCGGGGGACTTCCGTGTGGGGGCCACCCTCCCAGCCCACGCTGCGGGCCGTCCCCCTCCGAGCCCACGCTGCGGGCCGTCCACTCACCCTGAGCCTGGGGCGGGGTCGCCTCGGGGGCGGCCGAGTGGGCTTCTCTCATGGAGCTGTGTGCGTTGGCCACCAGGTTCCGGGCAGCGCTGAACCCGGGCAGGGACCCGAAGAAGCTGCCCAGGGTCTGCGGGGGGGCGGGGGTCAGGGTTGGGGGCAGCTCCCAGATCCCCAGCCCGCGTGCCCGGGCGGCCTCAGTTTCCCGGCCTGGGCAGTGGGCAGAGGGAAAGGTCGGCCCCCCGCTCCAGGGTCCTCTCTCCACCGAGGGCCAGAGGGGCCACGGCCGGCCGGAGGGGGCACAGTGGCGTGAGCCGCTCCCTCGCCCGGGATGGGAGGGGAGTCAGTGCTGTGCCCCGGGGCCCTGCCCCCCAAGGAAACACCGTCCTAAGGCTGGGGTCCCCGGCCCCGCAGGGTCTGCCCTCCCCCTTCACCTTGCCCTTGGGCTTCGGGGGTTCGTCCTGAGCAGACATGGTGCCGGGCACAGTCACGGTCGCGCTGCTGGGAGGGGACAGAGCAGGTGCGTGAACTGGGGTCCCCGCCTCTGCCCACTGGCCCCCAGCTGGAGCCCGGCCCTCCGCTCACCTGGACCCGCGGGCGTCCCCGGAGCGCTGGGTGGTGCTGCCAGCAGGCTGCTCCTCCGCTCCCAGGCCTTATAGGGCCGGGCGGTGCAGGCAGGGCGGCGGGGAGGCAGGCAGCCAGGCCCGGGAGGGGGGCCGGGCAGTCACGTGGTCGCCCGCCCCTGCGGGCCCCGGCCCAGCACCTCTGCCCTGCTCTCAGTGCCAGGCCCCTGCCCACGGCGCCCGCCCGCGCAGGCTCATCCGGGCCAGCTGGGCCTCGCTCCGGGTCACCACGCTGCCTGACCCCACCCCGGGACTGACCGTCCTGGTGCCTCGGTTTCCCTCCGTCTCACGGCCATGGCCACGAGTCCTGCTTCCTCCCATCCTCCGCTCAAACTCACGGGCGGCTCCGTGTTCCTCGCGGCCTGAGTGGGGGGGGCCTTTGCCAGGGCCGCTCGCCTGGCCTGGAGCACCCTCCCCCTGTAACCACAGGGCTCCCCGCTCCCTGGGCCCGCCCTTCATGTTTGGCTTGGGGCCAGCAGGTGGCATGGTGGCCAAGGTGCTGACTCCCACAGGGCCGACTGCAGTTCGAGTCCTGGACCTGGTGGTCAGAATTGCGGGCGTGCGTGTGCATGCCCAAGGTCTGGTGAGAAGGGACCAGAGTGTGGCTGTTCCCGCTGGAGGGGGCATTTCTCACCTTCCCTCTCTGTCTCTCCACTGAGTGCACAAGAAACCTTAACGATAAGATAATAGGGGCCGGCAGGTGGTGTGGTGGTTGAGGTGCCGGACTCCCACATGGCAGACCATGGTTCGAGTCCCAGGCCTGGCAACTTGCTTTCTCTCTCTCGTCAAATTAAAGAATAATAACAAATAAAATGAAATAATTCGTTTTAAAGAAACAGCAATAATAATGATTAAAGGAAACGTTTGGCTCAGTGGGGCAGCTCACAGGGTGGGTGTGAGTGCTGACCTACCTGCCCCCCAGGTACTTCACAGAGGTGAGCTGAGCATCGTCCAGGCCCGCGAGGTCCCTGAGAGGACCAGGGGTGTCCCCAGCAGGGAGAGGACAGGTCACTCTTCCTGGTTGGGCCAAAATGCAGGCCAGCACGGAGCCCTGGAGCTGGGGGTGCTGGCAGTGGGCCAACCCAGGGAGGCTCCCTAGAGGAGGCATCTCGGGATGTGCCAGGGGTGGAACCTGTGCACTAAGTGGGCTGCGAGGCTGTGGGTGGGTGGCGTGTGCGAGCAGGGGTGGGTGCCACAGCAATCCTGGGTAGGACCCCAACTGCCGGCCAGTGGGGCAAGGGCAGCCCGCGATGGCCCTGGACGCTGAGCAGGGGGAGGGAGGGTCCAGCCGCCAGGACCGATGACCCCCAGCCGTCTCCATGGAGCCGGCACTGTGTTTGCCAAACAGTCGGGGAACAGAGCGGCTCCCCGGGGGAGCGGGAGGCTGGCTGCGCCCCTCCCCTTCCCGTGGGGCAGCCCTGGCCCGGGCTGGTCAGGGGGGCAGCCTAAGAGAAGATAAACATAGGAAAGACCACAACCCTCACAGCGCCCATCCTTCCTCTGCCCATAGCCCTCCAGGGCTCCCACCTCCTGCGGGTCAACGCCCGCCTCCTCCCTGCAGCCCACCAGGCCTGCATGCCCACCCATCCCCTCCCTCACTCCCCCTTGCTCACTCTGCTCCAGCCACAGGGGTCTCCTCACTGTCCCTCCCACACTCCCAGTGCCGCCCTGCCCCCCAGGGCCTTTGCATGGCCATGCCCTCTGCCTGGAACGCCGTTCCCCAGGTGCGATGTCTCCTTCGCGGTCTTTCCAGGTGTCCCCCCTCAGAGAGGACTTCCTGGTGCCCCCAGCCCCAGCACCTGCACACCCACCCCCGGGCAGAGGCTGGCGGCACGTCCCCGGCCCATGGCCATCCGTGTCGAGTGGACGCACGGGCAAAGCAGCACATCCCAGCTCCCGCGGGCGAGGCGCTTACGGGGAGTCTGCACCCACTTCACAGGAAAACCAGGCTCAGGGGGCACCCCCAACCCAGCCGGCGGTGGGCTAGGCGGGGCCCGACTCATGGCTCATGACACCCCCCCTCTGCACAATCTCGCTTCCCACCATCAAGCTTTATTTATTCATCAACTGCTCGAGGCTTGTGCACTCAGCAGAGAGAGACAGAGACGGGGAGAGGGACAAGGCAGCCCGGCAAGGCACGGTCACCAGGGTCCCTTCTCCTGTCTCCATCCTGTCCGGGCCTGGCACGTTTCGAGTCGCTGGGTCAACTCGGGCGGTCGGCCACGTGGGCTCCGGCTCCTTTAGCCATTGCCAAGCCTTTGACCAAGCTGGTCCCTCTGCCCCGACACCCTTCCCCATGTGCCGATCCGCCCATGCTCGCCAGGCTGGGTGCCCAGAAGCCCTGAGCCTTGTGGGAAGAGAAGGCAAGGCTGCTGTGGCCATGTCCAGGTGGACAGGGCCTGGAGGGTGAGAGGGGCTACCCTGCTGGGTGCAATCAGGAAAGGCTTCCTGGAGGAGGGGACATTGGGGCTGGGGCTTGAGGATGGGTAGGAAAGGAGTAGGGGAGGGTGTTTGTGGGTGTGGACACAGCTGAGGGAATGCTCGGAGGCAGGGGGTGTGCTGGTTTGAGTGTGGGATGATATGGAGGTTCACGCCATGGCCAGGGCGTGCATCTGGCCAGTGGGGGGTGGCTGGGGCTCTCAGAGCCACCCTGGACCAGGTCCCAGGGAAGCCAGGGGCCACCCTGACCTCACCATGCCAGAGGGTGGTTTCCCAACACCCGGCGTGGTCACGGGGAGCCTGGAATGAGGTCAGAGGATGGGGCTCCCCACGGGACCTGCCATGGCTCCTGCCCACATCCGTAGTCCCCCACCCCCCCCCCCCCCTAAGAGCCGCCAGTCTCCCAGGTCCCAGGGGTGGGTGGAAGAGGGGCTGCCCGCTCCCCAAGGACTTCCAGTTTGTGAGGCGAGGGCGGCCTCCACCCTGCACGGACACTGCTGGCCGGGACAGCGCTCGGCCCGCCGGCTCCCATGCTGCAAGGCCAAGAGGCATGGCAGTCAGGGCAGGCAAGCTTGCTCCTCCATTATCTGGGCCCCCAGCCCCGGGAACGGAATCGCGCGGCCTCTGGGCGGCAGGAAGCGCCTTTATTGGGGAGCACGACCCCGGACTGCTGGCATCTTTGGGAGACCCCCCAGTCCAGGGTGTCCGACCTAGGGAGGGGGCTCACTTTCCAAAGTCCCAAGTAGAAGCCACTGGGCCCACAGGCTCGGGGAGTTCCGATCGACTTCCTGGGGCAAGATCCGAGCTCAGGCCGCCAGTCCCTGCTCCTCGGGGCCTGGCGTTCCCGCAGATCCGCCGGGTCCGAGCTCCGCGTCGCCGGCGCCCACGCGCGCCGCCAGGGGGCAGCAGAGGGCCGGTCAGAAGTCCAGCTCCGGCATCAGCGTGTGCTTGACCCGGCTGGGGGGCTCCGGCTCCTCCTCGCGAATGTCCCCCGCGAGGCCCGGCCGGGCCTGGTGCTGCGCCTCCCAGGCTCTCTGCTGGGCCGGCCAGTCCAGGTGCGCCCAGCGCGGGTCCGGGGCCCCCACGACCTCGTCCACCCGGGCCTGCAGGTCGGCCAGGGGCTCGGGGCGCTCCACCAGGATGGGTGGGAAGG